CAGGCTGCGAGGGGATCCCGCGTTGGGGAAGGCGGCGCAGTCGAGATTCACATCCGCCTCGCCGCCGTCCTGGGTGGGGTGGGTGGAGGAGAGGCAGACGGCGTGCACGCTGGACCGGCGCGTCTGAGCCGCCCGTCCCTCCGCCTGGAAGACCCGATGGATCAGTTCACTACAGCAGGGCGACACCCCGGGCAGGGAAAGCGGCGGCGCGCCCGAGGTCGGGGGGCGGGGGGCGGCCTGCTGGGCCTCCATAAGAGCCGCCCGGCGCGACCCGGGGCCCAACCCGGGAAAGACGTCCTGTGTGAAGCCGCTGGTGCAGAGGAGGTAGGCGCAGGACGCGAGGTAGGCATCGGGGATGTTGACCATCCGACGCGTTTTCTTAGAATTGCTGTTAAAGTAGCGAAGCACAACGCGGATGGCGGCGTGGGTGTCGGAAAGAAAGGCCTCGGGCACCGCGCCCGTCGCCTGCCCGTGCTGGGTCATCACCCCTTGAAGAAAAAGCCGCTCGAAGTGATGGAAATGCTTCGCCGTGGATCGCAAAAGTTCCTTTCGCGAAGGCGTCGTCGCACCGGGGGAAGGAAGAGCCCCGCCCTGGGTCCACAATGCCCCTCCCCCATGCGCGGAGTTCGATTCCTTTGGCAGAGATGGGGGGTTGTTTAATTTCTCCGATGCTTTATCGCGATTCGACTCCTGAAGCGAAGAATCCATGATTAATTTCATAATGGGTTCACGAAGATGAGTGGTGATGTGCTGAAGCATATTCATCCAGGCACCGCGTTGTGCAGCCTCTTGCACTACTCCCTGCACGTTGGTCTGGGAGGTGGAGGAAAAGTTAAAAGGAAAAGGGCTTGGGTTTGGAGTATGGGAAGAGGAACCGCCTGTTCCTGACAATACAGGTGATTTTGTGGTTAGCGCCTGTCCAATGGGGACATTAGGATCATTTTTTGAAGCGAACAAGGGGCTATCCATAACGGAAAGCTTACCCCAATGGGGCATATTTGATAAGAACACATCGAACAGTAATTGAAACCCGGCCTCTGGGGAAAACACAGGGAAAAAGTGGGCACCTGTACGTACACCACAGCAAAACGGTAAATTATTCCAATCTTTGCAATCGTCCGGCAAACTCTTTTGTGAATGCAAATCGCTCACCCCCGTTTGACGGGCTAAAAAACCTGATAAAATACCCTTTACAGACCACGTGTTGGACTTTGAAAAGGGCTCAAGCGTAATTTCATACGGGATTTTGTGGGCCCGGCAAATCCACATCATTGTCGTCGCGGCTGGGTCCTGCTCGAAGGCGTGCACACAGAAAAGAATCGACGGCGATGAGCGTGGCGAAGAGGCCCCTGAGAGACGTGGAATAAAACGCTGCGTGGCTTTGGTGTAAAGTTGCTGAATTAACAAAGTTTTCTTGCTCATAGGAAAGCTGTCAGGGCGTACTTGCGGGTATGTAGAGTAGGCCTCGTAGTTTGCACGAATCAAAGCAGCTTCGACCAGAGATACCAGCGGGAATGCCCTGTAGCGAGCCATTAGCGTAAGAACCTCTGCACAGAAAGTCTCGGCCGCAACGGCAGGAGTCATGCGGCCGCGTAGTTCGGCCCAGCGCCTGTACCTTAAGCGTGCGCTGATGTCAAACCAATTTAAGAAACGAGCTGAGAGTGAGGTTTTTGGAGGATTAGGTTGTGAAACAGGGCTTTTAATAAAAGATTTGCCTTCTGATCGAATTTGATTTTTATTTTCAGCTGCATAAGAAGACATGGTCATCCCGCGCGAGGTTTCCGATGTGGCCTCATATTTTATGGGCGCATCACCATAGCGCGCTTGCTGATAAAGGGCGTATAGCCGCAAACGTTCCTCGTAGGTCATGAATTGCCAAAGTGCAGACTTAAAAGTTGGATGGGCCATAAGAAGCATAAGGGAGGTGGTAAATGACCTCACCTCTTCGGAGAGACCTGGCATCTCGACCCACATGATTTGTTTCAGGGGGATCTCTATACGTAAACAAATAATTTAGAAACAACTTGGGTCATGGATGGTAAGTTCGGAGGAACGGAAAAGATAAGCGATCAGTCCTTTTTTCTTATATCGTTTTTTTTTTTCAATACAAGGATAAAAAGCGTAAATTTTCATTTATGATGTATTTTACAATGTCGCAAGGTTAGTTAATACTATTTTGAGTTCATTGTATTGTAGTTGTTTTTTTTCAGCAGTATGAGACGGTAGTTTAACGGTGTACGAAACTGAATGAAAGGAAGTATGTATGAAGCACAACGAAATACGGGGAAACAGGAAAGAAATAGAGTAAAAGCGATGGAGAGAACGAGACAGTTTATTGCGTTACAAGAGTAATGAGTTCACGTTCTCCTTTCTTTCATATTTCCTCCCCCACACACCCTTCTGAGTATACCCTTCCTTAGTGTATTTTCATATTATTTCTCTATCTTTAGGAATTGCCGTCTTAAATAAAAATATCCATTATGGAACGATAAAACATGGAAAAAAAAAACAATAAAACTATGTCTACTTTATAGAAAATAATGAAAAAAATGGTAAGCATTCGTTAACTCCATTTCCATTACATATTTTGATATAAATATGTGCGTGCAGATTCATGAACTCTCTTCCGAAAAAAATTATAAAAAGCCTCCAACAATGTGGAGTTGCCCTGATTCTGTTCCCGCTAGCACATAAAATGCACCCCTTTGCGATGACGCACCAGAACCTTCCTCGCTCCACCACGTGGCCACCGTGTTGACGACACCACAGTTTAGAAGTTTCCGATTGTTGTTTCCATTGGGTATGTTATCCATGATCTCTTTAAAAATGCTTTCCGGTTGTTGAGCATTCGAATCTATATCGACAGTGTCGGGGAGGTGCAGATGGTTATTGTCTTGTGTATCACAGTTGTTGGTGTTCGCATTCAGGGTCACCGGTTCTTCTACTGTGGTGTCACCCCTGCAGATCTCAGACACCATCTCAGCGAAGGGGGAGGATTTGTAGCTTCGGCTACCATTTTTTACACCTTGGGTGATTCCGCCTATCACATGTGAAAGTTCTATCAGCTGCTCAACAGCTAATTTAAAAGGTTCATCAAAACAAGCAGCCCTGGCATGAAATATATTACCACAGTGCTTGTCCAGATGATCCCTGGGCCCTGACAAAGGATTTCTATATTTTTGAGTGACCTCTCCCACACATAAGTGGCAGGATAAGTTGAACATATTGGTAAAGAACATTCTTCCCTCTGTTTCCCCTCCTTGTGGAGAAAACAAACTCTGCAAGTCTGGATTCTTCCACTGAGCTTCTGAGAACCATGCTTGATCCTCTCCTTGAGGGCCCTTCTCAAGGTGATTTCGGCCATGGACAGTAATGCCATGGGAACCATTTGGGAAGGGCTCTCCCATCTCTGCGGGCCAGTAAATCACAGACGTGAGGCATTGTTGGGCATACAGCACGAGGGACAAACCATAACGCCGCACGAGCTGATCAATTAGCCAGTGGCGGCTCTTGTGCTTAAGGTGCCGAACCCCATGGTGACGTAATTCCAACTCGCCTTTCCCTTTGGGCACCTCCTCACTGAAATACTTTCCATTGGCCTCACACTCATCCCCGCTCATACTCCAGGTGTGATCACCTTCAGATAAATCCGCCATCAGAGACCGTATTTTATCGAAATCGTAATAATGGGTTAGCATTGTGGTTTTTTCAATAGGTCTTCCTCCTTCTGTCCGACTGTCTGCGTTGTCAGAAGCAGAGCGAGCTGTTGGGTTGGGACCCTCAAACTTGCCCCACGTGCTCAACGAACAGAGTATATCCTCCACGCTAACCTTCAGCTTTGCACCGCGCATATAGTGAAATCCGACGGATTTTCCTTCTTTTGTAATCGCAACACCCTTACGGTTGTTGGTATTAATGTTGTTTCCGTCGGCAGGTAGAGATAGCGAAATTGTTGAAGCCCTGTGAAGTTCTCCCTCACACAAGTCTTGCGCCGCCGCACCTCCCATCGCGTGTGTTCTCAAGGGTTGAATGATTCGAGCAAAATCCGCTTCCCGAAGCTTAACGGTGCGAACGCGGTCCCCTGAAAGGGCGTCGAATATGTAAAGTGTATTGTGTAGACCCCCTACTGTGAGAATAATTTTCTCAGAGTCCCCTCCCGTGCTCGGTATCGCTGATATTCGATCTTTCGAATTCTCAATCGAGTTTGCCGGGTTCGCCTCGCGATAGCAAGAATGGGTGGACCTCGCCAATCCGTCGTACTCACGGTTCACGACCGGTTTGGAGCCAATCACGGTCAGTGAGCACTGCAGTGAAAAGATCGGTGCCTTTATGGCACCATTATGGCTAGGAATGGTCCCGTTTTGAGAAAGAGACGCGACTGGCTGCACAGGGCATACGGCCACCACACGAACCACATAACTCATATAAGTATCGAAGATCAAGCAGCTGTACAGGCCGGGTCGACGCTCAAGAGGATTCATGCGATCCACAAGAACACGCTGTGGGCCGACGGAAGCCATCAGGGCGAGATAGCGCCCGTTTCGAGCGGTGGGCTCCAAATATAACTCGGGAACATGTCCGGAACGCGCGGCAAACTCAAAGGATCTGTCCGACTTTGCATGACTTTCACTTCGAGCTTTGTTGTGGTTGTAAGTACCTTTGGACGAGCTATAAGATGCATCATTGTGAGTTTTACAGCCTCTGGAATGATAATCTGTAAAGTAGGATATTGAAAAAACTTCGTCAATGTCAATGATATCATCACAATCAACACCCTTGTTGTCCGTCATGTACCCTTGATCAGAATCTTGAGCCTTGTCTATAGCTTGATTGGAATTCAACCCATGCGTCTTCCTCGACTCCCACAAATAAATGAGGGTACGATACATCGCTTCTTCAGCTTTACTGTTATCAATGCCATCATGCTGTGCTGAGCTCCACTGAGGCTGTCCCGAAATCGCCAACGAAAGCAAACGATAAGGAATCCCAGCGTTTTCAATGTTGACGTCATGCCGCAGAGGCATAATATTTCCTGATAGACACAAGGCACGACCGATTTCAGAAAAGACAAGCCTACTCCAGCTTTTGTAAAGCGCATTGGGGATACCAGATATATCTCGGTACTGATGTGAAGGCGCAACCTGTGGAGTAAAACGTGAGGATGGGACACTTCTAGCATCCGTTTCATTCTCAACACACAGGGAGTATACACCGCCGCGCTCCTTCATGACAACATTAAGGTATTCTTCTGCCTCATCCTCACTCTCGCTAGTAGTGTTTGGCCGCAATGTGGAGTTGGATGAGGGAGACAAATAAACGCTATTAGGCGGCGGGCTCGACACTTGCACAGCCAGGACACTTTGAATCAGCTTGTGACCTATCTGTGCAGAACGATGGGAATTCATACCTTGCGAAAGTAAAGAGTCATTCCCAACGTTACCAGAACTGGGATTCCCCCCCCTACTCGCCATACCTGTGGCTGAAAGCCGTAGAAAGCGAGAGAGGTAATTCATTGAACCAGTACCAGACTCGATAGTTTTGTTGCCATTTGTGCCTGTCATCAGTAGTGATAGGGAACTACTGGAATTGGTGCCGGCCAAATTTTCTGGGTTAGTACGGTGCTGAGCGGTGATGTCACTGCGGTCAAACCGTATGATGCGAGCTCCGTAAAAAAAGGCATGCGGCAGTTCCTGGTCTGTTATCAATTTAGCCTGTCGCCGCGACGAGAGGTTGAACTTTTCCTCAGGTGTTTGAAGCAAAGCAACAGAAGCGGGTAAGCCACGGTTACCTATTGTAACGGTGGGTCGTGCCCTCAAGCTGGAGGCCGATGATGATAAATATCCCAGATTATTAGGGTCATGCTTCTCAGCTTCATTCCATGCATCATACATTGAAAGGAATCCTTTATCATCAATTGTGTAGAGAGCAGTCATAAGTGGTGAGATAATGAGGTCCTGTACAAGTGTTGCGGCAATACGCTGAAGCACCACGCCCGAGCATGGGAGCCAGCGTATGATAAGATCATCCAAAGCTGCCGAAAAACACTGAAAGACTGCCAAACGAGCTCGCGCAGAAATATGCCATACGGCAGATGACGCCAGCATTGGCATATTGGTCGTCTCTGGCTTGTCCACAAAATTATTTGTAGTGGATTGAAATACCGAAACAAAGGACTGTTGATCAGTGGCAAGTTTAGACTTTTCCTCCTTGCGTTGTAAATCGAGAAACGCATCTTGCGGGCTCGTCCATCCACCACACCAAAATCGTGGGTCGACCCATCGCGCAACAGTGATAGGAGCGCAGTGAATCTCCCATACTGCATAAAGGCGATTAGGCAACTGAAACAGCTTCTTGAAGGGCTTCTGTTTGACGTTGGGAGAGCCCTTCTGATTTGAAATAGATGAGAATTCTGAAGCACTATATCTTTCCTTGTATAGCGAAAAGATGCAAATATGACCAGTGGAAGGTGGAACAAAACGGAAATCATCCTCTTCATCTCCTTCAGCCACACCCCTCGGCATGAACTGTACAGAGGCCATCACAAAACGTCCGTCAGGGGAGAACCACACAATAGCGCTATGCGCTTCGTACCAATGGGGATGCTTGGGGGTTCCTGGCAGAACCGTGTCGATGAGCAGCTCCTCTTTGTAGTTTGATTCCTCAGCGTGCTCTCGCAGCGCGTAGACAACTAACCGGCCACGCGTTGTCACGAACGCCACGAGGGTACCGCAGGGCGTCACTGTGATCTGTTGTACCTCCTCTGCAATCACATCCGCGGCTCGATTGAAGTGGTTTTTTGACGAACTCGCATCGGAGGCGGGGGAGTCTTCCTCTTCTGCTGTGGTTGTGTTATTCATTAATGCGTTATTGAGACGATACGGTTGTGCCTGCTGTTGCGATAGTTGAGGAGCTGAGAGCCCCTCCGTCTCTTCATCCACAGCATTCCACGCAATGTTTGATGGAGACATCGGCACAGGGGGTGTAGTTCTGCCCTCAATGCGCCAGTTCATTATATCAGATGTCATAATAACGCGTTCGACTGTCATGCCGATGTCCTGTGCGATACGACGAATAGCAGAAAGGGTTGGTGAAGAAAATCCTGTATTTGGAAACGTATTCGGTCGTTGTCTGGCTTCACGATCCGCACGCTCCTCCTCAACTCGACTTTGAGACGCACTGGAAAGGTGGATGGAAGAGATGGTTTGCGTTCGGGCGGACAACACGCCAGCGTTGGTTCCTGCGTTCTCAGCTGTTGCTGAAGTAGGCAGTAATGCAGCTTCGCTATTAACTGAAAAATTACCTTCACCTGTCATAGAGAGTTTAAGGGTATCGAGTATGTCCGTCGCTGCTTCGAATTGGCCTGTGGGTTGGTTGTGAGTCGCGTTGTGGTCATTGGCCCCACTCTGGTGATCTTCAGAAATTTCACCAGGGGCTAAATTGTTTTTACTCGCTGTAGCTCTTACAGCTTCCAGAACTGTGGAATTCTGCAGCGCACGAATCTGAAGCCTCAAGGGCACCTCTGTGAACTGGGCATTTAGAATTATATGCTGATGCGCAAGGGCACGTCGAAGGCATTGACGCAGGGGCCGAATGCGCCGCTCACGCCGCGTGCCATCCATTAGGATGCCGCTCTGTAGCGAACGCATAACAGCACATAGAGCATTCTCCATCGTATCACTGCGTCCCGCTGCCCAATCATCGGGACTTTTGTCTTGATAGGCCTGCGTTTTATCGGACTCATCTCCCCACTCCACGCCGTGCGATTGCTGGGAGGTAGCCTTGTATGTTATGAACAGATCTTCGGCATAAGGGAAAACCTCTGAAACGTTGCCTTTTTCGGCAAAATGGAGTGACGACGGATCCCCTCTTTCATTACGTTTGGGAAAACCCCGATGTATACTTAATTCAAATGGGTCATGGGACTCCGATTGGAGCTGTCCTGTTTTCCATACCTTTGTAAAAGGCACAAAGCTTGAAAACAATTGAGCATACACGCGAGATCGCTTCGCTTGTCCCATGTGTGTAAAAGGATTAGCATTGCTGGCGCTTTTTAGCCCTGGAATCCCACCAGGAAGAGTAGACACCTCTTCTCCTTGTAAGGATGCAAATTTTCCTATACATTTTGAAGGGGTGGTGTCGATGTCGAAAATGGGGCTGTCCAGCAGCAGTTGGACTGCCGCTGAACGAAAGCCGTCCATCAGAACATACACGCTGTTCAAAAAAACATCCCATAAAGTCTTTTTGTTCATATCCTTATTAGCAATACCACACTTCCGGGATTCGCCTATAGGCGACAAATACGGCATACCGTCACTTGCTGTCGCGCCATCGTTTCGGATCTGATTTTCATCAGTCATATGATCCATTACAGGGAGATGTCCAGAGACGTTTTGCGTGGTGCCTTTATCCCCTTTTACAGCAGAAAGAGATATAGAAAAGTTTTTGAATAGCCTCTCGTAGCGATGCCGCCGATACTCTAAACGTCCGGAAGGCATGAGACATGAACCTGCCTTAAACTCCTCCTTCTTCTCTTGGTTACCCTCCTTATTGTCAACAGCAGTACCGTGCTCATGCCGGACGAGAAGAGTTTGCTCCAAAACATTCCCGCAGTGTGCAGCCCACTGTCCCTCCCAAACAGAAATGGCTTCCTCAAGGGCCTTGTTGCGTTTATCACCGCAATGGGTCGATCCTGTGGAGAGATGCATAAGCCGCACATGCTCTTCTGCAGATTGAAGTATCCACAAAATATTTCGAGCGCGTTCTGCAATGTGCCAAATTCTAACAAATGAAATTTTTTCGCGATCGGTACGATTCTCGTCTTCCTCAGTCATCCCCCCTTTCTTTTCCTCGGGCATGTCTGTGTCACTCTGCTTGCAGTCACAAAATGGGCACCGCGGTAGGAAATATGCTTCCATTCCCGCATATAGTTCCGATTTCTCAGTTGCCACCCCAGCATTTCCCTTATTGGTTTCATGAAATGCTGGTGCACGACACGCATCGGCGACAGCTTGTATACTGGTTAACATATCCTGCCACCCATTAACCCCTGGAGAAGTAGTGGCTTGGTGACCAACAGGTGATACTTTTCCTGTTTCTACAACACCTTGACCGACACTGGGATTATGTGAGGAAATCACAGAAGCTGGCACTGCACTCCCTGTAGTGCCATAGGGCAACGATGAACGTTGCAGGACTCGGCGAAGCACCAGCTCGGCCCTCCGCTTCCACAACCCGTTTGTCACGTTCATAAATTTCAGAGCCTGCTCTATTATCTCGATGGCGGGGGAGTTGTGTAGAGGGGAAGGTTCTCGGTCTACCCTGCTGCTGTTCTGTCTAAGATCTGAAGATGTATTGTTTTCAGAAACCTCTGTAGTCGACGTCCTGCGACTCTGGGCGTGGTGCGCTGCCAGCGTCATGTGCAAGGTGTGTGTACAGGAGAGGAGCTGGCATGCACACTGAAGGATGTTGAGCTGCAGTAGGCCTTGCGTGGTGGTGGAGTGACTGTCATTCCGATGGAAGCATCGTTGTTGAGCCTTCGTAGTGTGTGTCTTTTCCTCTTCATTGCTAGATACAGAAGACGACGGCACTGACATGCTGTGAGAACTAACTTTGTTAGGATCGTAGTCTTCCTCAAAGGTGGTGGGCTTCTTGGATAAGGAAGCACGGCGCTTTTTGCGAGGTTTTGTTTTCCCATTTGATGCAGTAGTGGGTTGGCCGTTTGAAAACGCTTGATTTGGATTTCTTTCAAGCTTCTTTGTCCCATCGTCGTCGCTGTACAAAGTTGGATCCTCTTGCGCCACGGCGTTGGTTTGAGTTTGAAGATTGCTTTCCTTTTGAAGTGAATGCGCACTACATGTAGTCCATTTAGAAGCGATGTCACATATAATCTCATTTTCGGCCATATTCTGTTGTAGCAACAGAATACTGCAGTACAGAAGGAAGACTCTCTTCAGGACTGAGGGTAGCGATGAAAGTGGGAAGGTGGTTTGCGCATATTCTTCACACGCCAAATTATTGACAGAAGTATTCGCAAGTGCTACAGTAGTAAGATGATCATAAAGATCGCTAAGCACATTAACCACACGATTCACTTGGCCTATGGAATTCATTACGTCGTCGCTAGAGCCCGAAGAACCCCTTTGAACGTGTTCCAAAGACGATAGAGCACCTGTAAGGGGTTCCACCGTGTAGTAACTGAGTACTTGTACGATTTTCATAGTTTTTTGCTCGTTTTCCCCAAGCTTCTCCTTAAGAACCTCTTCAAGCAATGACCGAAAACTAAAATTTTGAGATGAACTGGGCTGATGATCTGTGTGAATATCACCATCCGACGGCGTCGATTTTGACTTTGTCTCATCAGCTGAAGATAGTGACTGAGGTGAATATTGAAAAGAAATGGAATTTTTCTGTTTTGCTTTTGCTTCAATTCCATGATCGCTCACTGCTTTATCGATTTCTGTTGTGATGTTGAGGTTAGTGAAACCAATGGTATTTAAGTTCTGAGTTGCGGAAATAATAGGACTTGCTGATACGTCTTTTCTGAATTCTGTCGCAGTAAGCTCACCACGGAGTGTTTTGGCTGTTTCCACGAGGCCCATATCATTTAGTACCTGCCACAGAAAAGCCACTGACTTGGGAAAATTATGCCCAGCTGGATCGGCAGGGATGGAGCATTCATCATTGGGGTGTTGTGCCACATCAGATGGGATTTGGGGCGAATGACCTTGAGAAATAATTTCATCACTGCTACCGCTCTTGTTTTTAACTGTAACCCCTGGAAAATCCATTTATTCAATAATTGCTTCGTTATTGATACAACTCAAGCAAAAAAAAGAGTTTTTTAGCAATCAGGTATTTATGCTGTGAATATAAAAGGCAAAGGACGTCTAAAAAACACTTGGCAATAAGTTAGCTAATGGTCAAAAAGAATGGTAAACACGCGCAAGAGAAAAAACTAGCAACGATACGATGAATGTATTTTCTGTAGTGTGCCGTCGCCTTTTAGAATTGGCCTATCTATTCTTTTCTTGTTTATACACTGTGGGCGTATATATATATATATATGTTACCACGCGTATGCCTTGATAATTATTTTTCCCTTGAAAAAAAGACACGGATGTCGATAAATATCAAGTGAGGATACGCTATGTGGATCCTCCCCTACCCCCCTATTTATTTCCTATATATATATATATACAGTAACCTTTTCGATTTGGTGTATAAAAAATATCTGAAGATCAGTAAGGAAAGAAATTGCGTGTGAAGTGAAAGCACCTATTTCACCAATAAGAATGAAACTGAACAACCTAAATACCCTAAGTACGAAAGAGCAAGATGAAACTGAAAAAATGAAGGACTGAGAGCAAAACAACCAAACGATACTGATATAGCTTTATTGACTTGCCTTTTAGAAAATAAGACAGAAAATTGTCTACCATCACTCGGAATTTCACACCAGTACATATGTTTTCTTCAGAAGTCAATTAGAAAGGAAACGCGAACACACGCAATTAAAAATATTACCATCCTATAACATTGCAGTTAATTCGATATGATGCAGTTTAGCATCTGGTGATTCCCTACGCTCCTACACGACGTCAACGCGGCGCTTCAGCTTTTCATGAATATGCCGAAGGTGGCTCAGGACATAAATAAATTGATCTCTCTCAACGGTCGTCTCCCATGATGGTACCACTTGTGGTACCTCTTGCAGCTGCTTGGGTTGGGTCGACGGAGTAGATGAAGACAAATGTCCGAAATTGTCGCCCATGGTAGAAACAGAATTGGCCGGTGTTATAGAAAATGTTTTCGATTTATTAGGGAAAGACAAAGGCGATGAAAAGATAGTTTTTCCCGGCGAGTCAACTATTAAAGGAGATATTGGATTCCTGGTAGATAATTTAGGTTGGGTAGGGAGCGTTTTGGGGGAGGTGCTGGGATCACCTAAAGTCAGCCTTGTCGAAACAGGGGTCCCCTTTTGGGCTGTGGAAACCGCCACAGCACCGTCAGCTCGTCCCAATGTAACCGATTTAGTGATTGGCCCTTGTACACGCTCCTCGCTGACATCGTTTAGGTAATACTCCAGAATTTCCAGAGCTTGCCGAAGGTTCTTATTATCAAGACACATATACCCAACCGTATTCTGTACAAGCGCCGCGCGGATGGGGTCATGCGGAGACAACATAACCTCGGCATCATGCAGAGTATTCATATAGAGCGTCACAACATCGTTGTAGTCCCAAATAACAGGGTACCGAAAGCGATGATGGTGCACCAGTCCAGGGCCCTCGTTCAGGTTCAAAGCGGATCGAGGTGCTCGAATGCCTGTGGATGGCTCCCCAACGGCAATACTCTTACCGCTTCCTGTGAAGACTGATGAGAAGTTTCTACTTAAATGTGTTTCCATTAGTTGGGTAAATTCGGTAGTCCCGTCAAAACGATGTGAGGAAGGTGAGCTTGGCAAACTTCGTAGGTTCTGTGTGGTGGATACATTCATCTTCTGAAAATGAATGGACCGGTTCGTAGTATCCATATCGCTTGAAATTCTTCTGATAGCACGATCTCCGCTTGCAAGGGGCCTAGAAGCATGGCTCTCACGATCATAAGACTGCATGAGTTCACCTGTTTCATTCTTTGCCTCTCGTAAAAAAGAATCGCGGGAAGGGCCAACGAAAGCACCAAGCAGTGAGCGTACCGCCTCTGTCTCCATGCCACGCACCATGGCTGCGATGAGGCGGGTTAGCATGTAATTTTTTGGGAGTGGTATGACAGTGCCCTTGTCCAACAACGCTGTGGTGACTGCCGCAGCCATGGCATTTTCTGAGGAACCACCTTTTCCCCGTCCTGAGGTAGAGTCGACTTGTTTAGTCCCAATGCATGGCCCACCCCCCTGTAACTGCTGCAGGAGAGGAAGACCACATCCTGGAACAACTAGCGCCGTTTGGGTATACAGATAAAAGGAATTGTTTGCTTTCCTTGACAACTGCATTACGTCCTTGCCATCAGGGCACGGGTCGGTGTGAATAGAACTTTCTAAAACTACGGGTGACTCAATAAACTGCTCGTTAGTGGTAAGATGGCAATTATCCATTGGGTCACTTAGCGTTCTCTCTGAATTAGGCATTCCCAAGGCTGAAAACAGGTTTGATGGAGATTTCAAACCTTTTGTCGAGTCAGTATACTTCGATTTTTTCCTGGATGAGGCTTGCCGATGTTGATGAGGTAGTTTAGTACACGGTGAAGGAGTCACCCGAAGTGATACGGCAGGCTTGATGTCTAAGCCTTCGCGTCTACAGTGGCGCTCTGCTGTAGAGGCTGTCTTGCTAGTGGGCGTCAGATGTAACTGTCGTGTAATTAATCCTGAAGATGAGATGTCTGTTCTGGGCAAGTTGTAAGTACTACTACTGGATCTATGAAGTTTTGTACCATAAAGCAGTGGCTGCCGCTGCCGCTGCTGCTGCTGCGTAGTACGCTGTTTTTTTGACTGCTTTGACTTGACACTATGTAGGGATTTTATGTCACTGCTGTCGCCCGTATTGCAACAAGGCTCACTATGAACAGAGTAATTAGGAGGCCTAGAATGCCTACCGCCTGCCCCCTCTTGGAAGACATTAGCGGACGAACTATCGGTAAACATTCCCTCCCCCGGTGTCGTCAACGAGTCAGGTGTCTTTTCATAAACGGAATCAACTTTATAGCAAGAACTGGGATTGCCCTGACTGTCTGAGCACCCTTCCTGCACACCTGAAGATTCCTCGGTTCCTTTCATTTCCGGATTGTTAGTGCCCTTTGGTGAAAAATACGTATCCGGGTCCTTGTCCAGGTTCACCATACAGAAGCCGCTGCAGCGATTAAGAATGGTGGAAAATCGTTCCAGGAGCCCTTCCAATTGAAGAAGTTGATACAAATCGCACAACCATTTGCGATAGAAGAGCCATATGCGCATATCTACAAGGTACACCGCCGGGATCAGCCAATCCACGATCGTGCTCACGATTCGGAACGTGAGCAAGGTGATCTCACCCTCAAGCTGATTCTCCATGGACTTCGCTGTCAAGATGGTAGAATTGATGTCGGAAAGAAGCTGGGCTAGGACGTCGCGCATGGAAGCCACGAGGGAGATCCTGCCGCAGGCACGCCGCCGCTGCGCCCCGTCCCAGGCTGGTAATCCATAGCCCAGGTCACACACGGCGAATCCCCCCGCTGAGAAAAGGCCGCCTCTTTTTACGCCGCTTGTCGGGACCCCGGTCTCTTGACTGCGGCCTGCATGTCCATCGAAGTCGGCTACAGTGTGGCTGCTATCGATGTGCAAAGGGAACAGGGTGGAGTCGCCCGTCACATATGGCGTCAAGAGTGGAGTTTCATCAGTACGCTCTTCCTTGATTGGATGGATTTCCGCCTTTCCCTTGTAAGTCGTATTGGATTGCTCGTAGGTCCCACGCAGGGCATCTGACTCTTGGGATATTGGTATGCACTGCTGAAGCTGGGAGTGAATTGCAGTAATGAAAGCATACACAAGAACATCCACGGGACGGATGTTATCGTTTTCATGGCTAGCATTATCATCCACGTTTTCTGTCAACAGCCCTGAATCTGAGAAAAATGAAAATAGATTAGGGCTTAGTAAAGGCGTTGAACTTGCTGGTGTGGTTGAACTTGTGTAACTATGGTGGGAAAGAATATTAAAAGAATCCATACTCGAATGCGAACGGATTCCCATACCCAAGTTCCCGATGCTTTCACGTGTATTCTGGTCCTGGTTGTTGGAAGGACACAACGTAGAGTTAGGAGTATCTAGAGGGTGGCTTGGTTCAAAAGCAGTCTCAGCTTCTGAAACCTGAGACCGCAAAGGCGTCTTTGCAGACGCTGCTGCTGCTGCGGAAACAACAGAGGCAACTGAAGCCGTCGCGGCGTGCGCTGCCAAAAGAGGGGCCGCGGTCATGAAATTGCGGGCGCCGACCGCGTAGCAGCGGAGGTTAGGACAGAAAACATTCTTCAATAAGCCTAATGCTCCCACGGAAGGCAGATGAACATTACTAACTGGATCTGTTTGACCTATCCTCTCAGGTTCTAACATAGACACTGATGTCATTGCAGCATCATATTCATCATTTTCAGGACAGCAAGTGGCAAGATCTTGATCAGATGGGGAACAATCCTTCGATTCAAACCCCTGTCGTAGCATCTCCGACGAATGCAAATATTGGGAGGTGTGGATATCTGTCATCCTATTAGGACTTTGGCTCACGTGGCGTTTGTCTACACCTGGTTGGTGCTGGTTCTCATTCATTTCACCTAGACGCCTATCATTCGCCGATGAATTTTTACAGCTTGAAGTTATACCTTTATCTGAGGGTCTTTTCCCCAAAAGTTCATCCATTAACACAGTAAAAATTGCCTGCATGACAGTCCAAAACTCCCACCGTACAGGATCAACTCCACCAAGCACAGACAACAGATGAGTCGCATCTAAACTGGAGGGTTGGAAACTCTTGGGGATGGTATTAGTATTATGTAAACTGTTATTTTTTTCCCAGGCTGCCGCATGAGTAGTAGCAGCTGCTGTCGCCGCCTCTATCACAAATGAAGGGGGGGAATTTGGTGAGGTTGTTTGACGACCAACAGAATTCATCAAGCCCGATGCTTTTTGAGCTGCTATAAAGAAATCAAAGTTATTTCGAATATTGTGATCAGAAGCAAAGAGAAGGTCAATTGGCATGGAAAGAAGCATACCAACCAGCAGCAAATCATCTGCAAAAAAAATACCATTCAAAATCTCCCACATACATTTCTTCCAGGTGTTTTTCATTAAAGTCACATGTGACTCCACCAAAGAAAGAGATCCATTCCCCTCTTTGCCCTGTAGCTTTTCAGCATCAGGGAGAAAGAAAAAGTCACGCAGAGAGGCTAGAAACTTGTCATCAGGAGGGGTAGATTCACCGAAACTACTATGGAATTGAGTGGCATTCGCAGTACTTGAGTGCAAAGTATACAGCAAGAGGTCAAGATGCTGGCGCAGCAGCGAAGCCCCGGCGGGATTATCACGTTTTTTATCACTATGAGGATGGAATGTGTCTTTCCCTTGGGGTAACTGTGTGGTCTCGAAATCCTTAGACCGCTTAGTCGAAGATTGAAACGCAGATCGGCATGCTATGTTAAAACGGAAGCTATCCTTTGTCGCATGGTGCGTTGCGAACAGGATATTCCACAGGAGATTGTTTTGCATCGAAGCAGTGTCCAAACCATTCGTCGGTGAAAATAAGCCTTGTGAATGATAGTGGTGGGCTGGTGTGGTGCATTGGGAGGTATATGCATAGGAAGCAGTGCCTGGACACTGCTTGTGATCGTGAGAACTGCTATCACTTGAATGATTCATCAAATGAGCACACGGGGAAATATTGTCACTAATATTATTATTCAGATTGACTTTTGTAATATTGGCTCTTTTATCCTCCCTGTAGGATAGGTTTGTTGGTAACTCTTGACTTTCATTTAGTTTGGTCTCGCAAATATCCTGTAGTAATGTACAACGATCTATAACTTCCGTGAGAAAGAGCTTGTTCTCTTCTAGAAATTTTAGCATTTCCTTGACCTTTTTAAGGTCTTTTATTAAATCACTAAGAAGCTTATCAGAAGCACGCATGAAGGCATCACGTTCTTCGGGACGCAGAAAGGCATCAAAGTTCACCAGTGTGAAGATGAGTTCAATTAAATATGTATGATTAAGGGTGTTGTTTACGCCCTCAAGTGTGGTAATAAGTGGAATGAACTCCTCACGGAGTTGGGCAACTATGTTAGGGAGCATAGCTGGAGCCATGCCAGTAAATGAGGATAACGACGCGGCACTCATCCTTTGAAACCTTCACAGCCTCTTTATCGCAATGTATACAGCAGCTTAAAAAAGATAATCTAAGGACCACCTAGTAGTGATGTTTGTTGTGTTTATCTGTTCTGCTCCGTTATTTTATAAGCTACCTTTTCTCTGTTTGAGATTTTTTTTAGCTAAATAAAAACCTTATATAAACAACAAAAAGGAGCTATTTCCCTTCACACACATATGTTGTTTACCTAAATTGATCTTCCTATGAAAAAGCGATAATTGTACATTATTTACCTTAACAATAGAATAAAATGACAAGTGATAAAGAAGCACAAAAATATACGCCTAGCACATACCTTCGAATCATCCGCATTAAAGTTATGTAAGTCTTTTTGTGTATATCTGTATAGTAACTATTAAGGAAATTTTTACTTGGTTATCCATTCTGGTAGCTAAGAATTAAATATTAATCGTGTAGGACGCATCCTTTTATTACGCTTAAATGGTAGCCCTCTACGCAGAGATGAAACAATATGTATTCGTATCTAACTTTTACGGACCTATCTCGTCGAAAACACTATCCTCTTTCTCTCAAAAACAACAGAGAGGAATAAAATAAATTTCATTTCCGCTTCTTTACCTTGGGATAGCTACACAATTCTTTATAAAATTTCCTCCGTCAGTGCGGCCTTCCTCAGATGATGGAGTCGCTTAGCCTGAAGAATCCGCATTCTCTTTTGGGTCTTCTAACATCGTGTTAATATTCTGTCGCTTTACGCGCGAAGCATCCATGAGATACTTCAGAGTAAAATAATTCTCCTGTGCGAGTTGAGACAACAGACGATGTTCACTTATGCTCTTCAACAACGTCTTTAATGCCGGCAACAACTTCGTGCTTTGGTCCTGAATGTGGGTTGAGGCGCTGACCATGACCTTGGTATTAAGCCCCTCGTTAGAGTGCAGTAGCAAAGACTGGGCCCAAAGCAAAGAATGCTCCAGCTCCTTACTCTTTTCAACTTCTTCGCTAACCCACTGAATGAGCAGTGGAAACGCCGCCGAGTGTGTCGACGTGACGGCGACGGGGATCGCCTCCCGTGGTAGCCTGCGCATGCACTCGATCCCCAGTAAACGATCCCCCAGGATAAGGGCGCCCATCAGCGCCAGCACGGGCTGGCCGCCCTCGAGCTGGGCCCGCACCTGCTCGGTAGTCACCGAAGCGTCCAGCAGCTGAAGTGGATGAAACCGTGGCCGGGCGACAAGCGTGGAGAAGACCAGCAGGCCATCTGTCGTGGCGGCCACAAAAGACGTCCCGGTTGGCGCGAATGAGACGTCCATGCAGCGCGCCACGAGCTCCGTCTTGCGCTTGCCCGTCGCGAAATGCCGGTTACGACTCCCTGGCATCTCCATTATCTTACGCCGCATGAGGTGCTCATCGTCGTCGTCGACATCGATGTCATCGATAAAGCCACCTTCGGTCATACGGCGCCATTGGTACTGCTCCTCGGCGCCGTGAATATCAAGATTGGCAGTGATGGGCCACTTTTTCAACACATAGCCCTGCGTCGCGTGGTATAACGCCAACCACTTGGATTCCCCGCCCGCGATGATCTTCTCCCCCTCCGGGGAAAAGGCAATACGGGTGAAGTTCGCGTTGTAGTTGGCGCTCCGCGGGCCCAAGTCTTTCTTCCACCCTCCCGCCGCATCGAAGGAGGTCTGAAAGGTCTTGATCAGCTCCGGCTCCGTCGGAACGGTGGTTTCGTAGACGGTAATTTCCTGCTTTGTCGTAAGAACGGCCATGTAGCGACCGCTAAAGCTGTAGGTCACACACAGAACCTCGGTCCCTATGTCGAGTACTTCGCTATCGCCCTTTAGACGGCTGCCGCCCGAGTTACTGTTAAAGAGGTCCCAAAACACTAAATTATGATCAAGTGAACCGGAGGTCAGCGTCGTCCCTGATGGGTGGAATGCCAAACAAGCGATCGGCGCCTCATGGCCCTGCAGAACGTCAATGACGCGTCCGGTTTGCACCGAGAAGAGGAATATTTTATTTTGATGGCTGCTCCCCACGGCCAAAACCTCACCGGAGGGATCCACCGCAATGCAGGAAAGCTGGCCTTGGACTTCAGTCAGCGGCGGTGTGAAGGTTCGGAAACAGCGGTAGCGCACAAGATCAAAACCGCGCGCCGTACCATCGAGGCTGGAGGTAAAAAAGGCATTTGTGGCCGCGCTCGTCACGATCCCGGTGATGGGCGCGGTGTGATCCACAAAGCTCACCACACACTGGCCTGATGTGGCCCGCCAAACCTTCACCTTGCCGTCGTCGCCCCCGGAGATGATATAATTACTGTCGGCGGTGATCACGGTCCGAGTGATATCGTAGTAGTGGGACTGCTCCTTTAGAACATAGGACTCCGCGCTCCAGTCCCAAACCAGGAGCTGCTTGAGATGCGCACTCCCAAAGGCCACGAAGGCACCGTCGCGCGAAAACTCCGCCGCGGTCAGCGACTGCGCTGATATTGAGAGTAAGTGCACGAGGGGGAATTCTTCGGAGATATCAGTGGAGTGAATGGCAAAGATACCGCTGTTGTAGCCAATCGCAACGAGCCCCCGTGGCTGATGGAAGGCCGCCACGGTGATGTTGCCCTTATGAGTAAGCATGAACTTTTTGTCGATCTCGTAGCTGTACAAAAGGATATCGGGAAGACCGCTATCGTCCGCTGCCGACACACGCACCCCGTCCAGCTTGAGCTGCTCCAGCCGCTGCCGCTCCAGAAAGCTCAGCGGGACCTTCCCCTCGTCGTCCGGATCACTGTCGACATCACTGCTATCCGATCCATCTTCCTTCTCGGCCTTAACGCGGGCGCGAAGCTGCGCGATCGCGATATCCTGCAGCACCTCCCGCCGTGTCACCGTTGTCTGGCGCCAGGTTATCGCGACGTTATCGCTCGACACGCTGACAACCCGGCGGCAGTCCAGACTATCGGTAAACCACGCCCCCACTACCCCACTGCGGTGCCCAATAAGGGCGTTTTGCTGGAGTGCGGCGCCCTTAACCCGCAGCTTCGCCTGGCGCGGTACGATCTTCATCCGGGCATCCTCGCCGCTGAGGAGGAGGTGCTCGCTATCCCGGGTCCACTCGATGGACGAGATAGGACGCGAGAGAACGGAGTGCAGATTCTCAACGCGGTGGCAGCCGTGGTAGGTCACCACTCGCTTCGCGGGGGTGGTATAGATCTGCAAGGTATTCTCCAGGGCAAGCGCGACGTAGCGACCACAGGGGCTGAACTTGACCCGGTTGACAGAACAACTAACGGGAAATGAAATGGTATCGAGCACCACATCCGAAGAGACACCAAAAAAGAACCCGAGGCCGCGCTGGCCGATGACGATGAGAAGGTCACCATCCGGCGAGACGTCGAAACATTGGATGTTGCTGTTGCTACACGTGTAGGAGCGGTGCCCCTCATGGCGAACCTGAATCGCCGAGATGTAGTTGTTCACCGGGGAATACAAGATCGAATCATCGGGGGCGAAAACAACATTACCACCCGTGTAAAGCATGCCATGCACGGCAGCCAGCTGAAAACCAGTCTGCATTATGACACTAAATACTATATATGGATGTCTTTTACGTTCGCCCTTTTTGGCAGACACGGATTTTTAATTTACGCACATAGTGGTATCACACGTGATGTTTGTAGTAAATAAACAAAAAGGAAGAAATAAACGACAGAAAAATAAGATTTCCAAACTTGACCTACGGTTGTTCGCCTATTCTATACTTTCCCATTTTTATTTTCCACAATTTAATAGGAAAAATTAAATCCAGATCATACGCGTCTTAGTAAAGTTAGTTATTAAAAGTCAAAAACATTTGTAAAAAACTTAAGTATATGTGAAATCTTAAGCTGTTTTTGTCTTAAAGTTATTCTCATCCTTATCATACTTTCAACTTATCTTACCCACACACAAACACACACACCCAACCTCTCTTTCGCAGTAAAAACCATGGATACCTAAAGAGGTGACAAAACATTTAAAAAAAAGTACTCCTAATTGATGGAGTAGAATACAACTAAAATTGATACAACCCGATAATTTTATTCGTTGTGCATCTTGTTCATGGTACCTTATCCTCCACCACTTTGGTCTTTAGCTCCCAACTTGAACTAAATAAAAAAAAATCGGGTTTTTCTATCTTTGTGCTATTGGATTCGCTCTCCCTAGTAAACGCTGTTCGCCTCCAGCTCATCGTCTAGATCGGCATCGAATTGACCAACCCGATTCCACTGCCGGCTCGGTTCGTGAAACATCCCGGCGAATAACCCCGCCTTGGCCGGATAAACCGCAACCACCGAGTCATAAAAATACTGCGCCGTACTCATCATGGTCTCGTCGTTTTGGGAGACTCTTTTAATAAAAGGGATGTAGGCCTCCACTCGGAAGATCTCCTCCGCGACGGAGCCGGTGGTGGCGATAGCCCCGGCCGCACGCAGAACCCACAGCGTCATGAGTTTGTTTCCCGATCCTACGCCTCCGGCCGCTGTGGAAAGATGCTCCGCGGCGACATCGAGAAAGGACTGGTCGGTGCGATCTGGAGCGCAGGTGATGAGCGAGTACACCAGCGCGAAGCCCGCCAGCGCCTGAACCCCCTTGGCGGAGGTCGTCTCGAGCGTAATTTCCTTAATATCGCCAAGGTCGTCGTCTGAGATGGTGGCGGACTTGCAAAGCGCCCCGACCGCGACCCCCGTGGCTGCCGCTAAGGCGGGCGTTTCGGCCTGGCTCCATAGCGGGCGAACGACATCCATGAGCTTGGCGATGTGCGGAAAGGACTTTGTGAAGTTGGCGTAGCGAATCACCGTGGAGATAAAGCGGCACATCACCGTGCGCAGGAGCGGGGTGTCCACCGACGACTTTTTCGTCACCACCGTCCCGAGGATGAGGTCCGCGTACTTCTCCGAGCGGCGTAGCAGTTCAATCACGACGTACAACGTGGTGGTTCGCGCCTCGCCGGAGTCGCACAGAGCCGCGTTAAACATCGCGAGCGCCATCGTCCCTTCCACGAGCTTCTCCTTCCCGCTGGCGGGGTAATTCATGAGCTGCAGGCAGAGCTGCACCAGCCCCAGCACCACCGCGCCTTCATTGCGGGTGAAAAGCACCTTTGAGCAGCGTCCGGAGACGGTGTTGGCCGCCGCCGCGCTGATGGCGCGGGGGGCGAAGGCCAGCAAGTCCTGAATCCCCTCAACCGCCTCCACTTTCTGCTGCGGCGTCCCATAGTCAAGGCCGCGATTGTAGAAGGACATCAGGGCATCGAAAAGCCGGGGATCGCCCTCGCCCAGCGGGGGAAACTCACGATGCGTGTCCGTCATGGACGCCCGGGCGATGGTTGCGAGGGTGGTGTGGAATATCTCGAGATAATTAAGCAAATAACGCCCCGAGGCCCGCTTGCTCGTCGTCACGTCCTGCTGCTCCACCTCGCTGAGTTCGTTAATGATGCGCTTTTCCAGGGAGGCGATGATCCTCGGCAGCATGCGCACGGCATCGAGGCGAATCACGTCCTCGTCATCCCCGCAGGCATTAAGCACGGCAAGCAGGACCGCGGAAATTCCATCGATGTTGTCGATATTGGTCCCGAGGCCGAAGGCTTCCGCCGCGAGCAGTGCCGCATGGCGGCGCTGCGGAACTCGTAGCGCCTTTTGGATGTAATCAATAGGCAACCCTTCAAACTCGCGCGGTAGAATCTCAATAAACAGAATCATCACATCTTTGGCGGCGCGATAACCCTGCACCAGAAATTCCAGCAGCAGGCGGCTGATGTCGTCGTAGTACCTTCGAATCTCCTCATTAGCCTCCTCAACTTCGATGATGGCCTGAATTAGCTCCAGGTTCGTCTCCGTGTATTGCTCTTGGGCATTTAAATATTTAAAGACAAGGGCGAGGGCGATTTTGGGCTTCACCTTCACCACCTCCACGACGCCGCGAACGCTTGAGCTGAGTTGGGCCTCCACCGCGTTCTCGATTAGTCGTGGCCCCACGATCTTCGTCACGCGGGCAAATACCCTGCGCGCCGCCTCCTGCACAGCCTCATCCGCGTCTTGCATCCCTGGAAGAACACAACCGATGATTTGCCCGCCTAATCCCATGAGCCGCTTCGAATCCGCAAACTGGACGATCGTCGCCAAGCCGTTAAGCGATCCCAGCTTCGCCCGGTGTGAGCCCTTCTTGTAGGTATCGCAGAACGAGACCACAAATTTGTCAATCGTTTCGTGAATCCGGCTGCTGAACTCGATTGTCTTGGCGCATACTTCTTCGCAGTCCGGGTTAGTGGATGAGCCCAGGTGCACCAACAGGAGGATTAAACCGTCAAAAATCTTGTTGACGGCGGCCCGAATGCTGGCGACGCAGGCCTGCCAAGCCATGTTGGTGTCATTGCGCACATTGACGTTGTGCTCGTGGCGCCCGCAGTAGATCGCCGAAAGCAACCGCACAAAAGAATCCGCCCCCAACATTCCCTCGAGAGAGCCCAGAATATAGACCCCGCGCTTCTCCACATCGCGGGCGGCCTCAACCGTAAGAACGGACGAGTTCGCTTCCGCGCCGGCGCCGGTTTCCCCCCCGGCGGAGTCCGCGGGGGGGCCGGATGGCGGCATTTCGTCCGAAGTCAGCTGGGCGGTCTGCATCAGCTGCTCACGACTCAGGTCGGTCGTAGCCTGATCCAGGACGGCTTGGATGCGCATCTTTTTCTTGATGTGCGCGACCAAATGCAGTAAAAGCTTCGAGGCCAACAGGAGCGAGCTCTGGCGGAGCGTCGTCACCTCACTGCTGATGCCGCGAAGGAGGGGCTCCAGAACTAGGCTGAGATTTCGCGTACCGTAGAGGGAGATGATGCTGTCCCCGGCCACCAACGCCACGTCGCGCACCTTGTCCGAAAAGTGCGATAACCCCTCCAGAACCCACGGAAACGCCAGGGGCAGCAAAGTTTGGAAGGTTTCGCTGCTCAAGGTCGAGGGGGCGTAGATCATGATATACAAAAACCCTTCCCGCACCGGCGGCTTGTCATCCGTCATGCCGGCCTCAATCGTGGCGAAGCAGGACTCCAGCAGGGCGTCCCCGCAGGCGTCGACGAGCTCCACGAAGGTCTGCGCCGCCCCGGCCTTCTCGATCGCGCTGGAGTGAATCTTCTGCATCGTCGCGAAGCACCAATTCATCACCTCGTCCACGACGGAGCCCCCGACGGCCGCCGCGAGGGCGCCAATCGCCTTGGCGCTCGTCGTCCGCGCCTCGGCCTTCGGGTCCATCGCGGCCTCTTCGAGGAGGTGGACCAAAGTATCGGAGTAGGGCCGCAGCGTCTTGGGGTCGTTCACGAGGATCACCATCGACGCGACGATCTGCGCGGCCTTCGGCCTGGTGTGCGGCATTTGGGCGCCCAGCCCACGATACAAGACGAAGATAATCAGCGCCAGCGAGGCGGGGTCCACCGCGTTGACAAAGCGCGTGTAAAGCAGCGCGTCCAGGGCGCTTTCGGTGTCGGTGCTGGGCGACCGCATCGCGCGGAGGATCAGCTCCACGTGCTCCTGAATCTCGGGGTTCGACACGACCCCGGCGACCCGGCGCAGCGCGTTGTAGGCCGCCGTCGAGACGAGGCTGTTCACGTCAAAAAGACACGCCAAGACGGGCTTCATCACCTCCGGCAGCGCCGCCGCCAGCTGCTTTGGCGAGCAAAAGGCAACGTAGCCGATAAAATTAAGCGGCGCCACACGCTGCTTGGCCAACTTCGAGGAAAGGCCTTCGACCAACTTCGGAATGAGCTGCCGGAGACCGATGACGGAGAGGTTGCTCATGAAGACCCGAGCCGCGTCGTCGGCGCACTCCGAAATCTTGGGATCGGGATCCGCCACGCAATTCAAGAACCCCTCGGAAAGCGCGAGGGAGTAGGGCTCGAAAATTGGGCCCATCACCTCACAGAGCACCTCCAGCAGCACCATCGCCCCGGATTTCTCGGTCTGCTTCTCACGCAACGCGGTCTGGATGAGGTCAATAATGTGGTAGCGACGCAGCGACACCAAGCCAAGCCCATGGAGGATCCCCACCAGGCCCCACGCGTGCGCCTTCTTTTTAATGTAGGAGCCCGAATGAATCGTTTGTTTGAGGCACTTCTCAACAAACTCGTCAACCTTGACGGAGTCCTGCACGATTCCATTTTTGGTGATCTCAATCATGCACTCACAGACGCAGCGATGCACCATCATCGAGTTGGAGTTATTCAACACGCGGCTTTGCTGCTCGATAATCGACTCCAGGAGGCCGACCTCCTGGAGCTGGCAGCTGATGATGGTCAGCCAGATCGTCGACGTCGCCAGGTACTGCTCCTTGTGGGAAGGGGTGGCGTCCTTGGGTGGTTTGGCCAGCCGCGTCTGAAAGACCGGCGCGATGCGTTTTAACGTGGCGAGACCCATATCCTTCAGCACCACACGCCCCGCCTTGACTACCGCCTTCATGAGCCACTCGCTCGTCCCGACGTGTTCGATCAGGCCGCATAAATAATCCATCACCTTCGCGGCGACCTCCCCCTGATAGGTCGAGGACAGGAGCTGCATCGCTACGACGCTGGCGAGGCCGCCGACGCGGATGACATCCTCGATCCACTCCCCCTGCTGTTCCTCGGTCGCCTCGAGAAAGAGCCGCCGCATCGTGAGCACGACCCGCGCCGCGTTCGCCCACTCCTGCCCATAGGTGGCGAGAAAATACCGCAAATCCGCCCAATCCGAGGCCGCCAAGCCCCATAGATAGCGGGGGTCCTCGACGATCGCGGCGCTGTGCCGCGCGACGTTGGCGGCCGGGTCCTCGGCGAAGACGGCGGCCATCACCAGCGCCCGGCGGCATTCGGCGAAGTGCGCGAAGCGGTGGAGCCCCGCCGCGGTGACCTCGCGGACGGCGTCGGTCCCGTCAAACATGGCGGACTCCACCACATCCAGCCGGGCGCTCGGGATCATCGCCATGACGGTGTGCACCCCCTGCTGGACGCTCTTATAAAGCGAGGGAAAGGCCTGCAGAATCGCGCTGAGCAGCGCCAGGACCTCGGCCGGGTTGGGCAGGTC